AACTGAGGTGTACCGCAAACCCACCCACACAGACCAGTATTTGCAGTTTGACTCCCATCACCCTTTGGAGCACAAGTTAGGAGTCATCAGGACTCTGTATCACAGAGCAGACAGCATCCCCACTAGCTCAGGAGCCAGGCAGAAGGAGAAATCCCACACAAGACAGGCTCTAGAGCAATGTGGATATCCTAACTGGGCCTTCCTGAAAGCAGAGAAGAAACCCAAACAGGACTCCAGTCAGCCATCAGGTGAAAAGGAGGAACCCAGACCCAGACCAGTGGTCATTCCATATGTTGAGGGAGTATCAGAGAAACTGAGACGTTTATTTTCTAAACATAACGTCCCAGTGGCTTTTAAACTCCAAAATACATTACGGCAAAGACTGGTTCATCCCAAAGATCCAGTCCCCCGGCACAAACAGAGTAATGTTGTGTATGCTGTTCAGTGTCAGGAGGGTGATCAGTCTTACATCGGGGAAACTAAACAGCCACTGGCCAAAAGGATGGACCAGCACAGAAGACCAACATCATCAGGCCAGGACTCTGTGGTCTACACTCATCTCCAGGCCAGCGGTCACTCTTTCAGGGATGAAGATGTTCACATCCTGGACAGAGATGAACGATGGTTTGAGAGAGGAGTAAAGGAGGCCATCTTTGTGAAAAGAAATCGTCCATCGTTAAACAGGGGTGGAGGCCTCCGGGTTCAACTGTCCCCCTCTTACAATGCTGTGATTGCTAGTATCACTCAGCCCTCTGTGAACAGTAAACAGCCATCAGTGTGCTAATGATCCATTGTTAGGCTGATGGTCCTTCTTGAGCATGTGATCAGCTGGTTTTGGTTGTCAGCAGCAAACTGGTTGATCCACTCTGAGAAGGTGCTATTTAAGAGACTGAGCTGAATACAGCACCTCAGACTGAAGAAGTCTCTTGGATGAGAGACGAAACGTTTCTATATTTTTTTGCTTTGTTTTTTTTTTTTCTTTTTTGAATGTCCAGAGGACCAGATTTAACTTTTTTAGATTTACAAGAGAACCTTCCTGTCTACAGCCATCAGTATCTATAACATCTCTTAATGAAACGAGGATAACGAGTTACAACAACAAAATAATTTCCCTTTGGGATTAATAAAGTATTTTTGAATTGAATTGAATTTGTCTTTAATGAGGAAACAACAGCAGCTAACATTTCAGCAGCTCTGAATGAGGAAGGTGTACTGCTGGAACGTTCACGACCGACCCATCACTACTTTTTTTTATCCAGATCCTTAAATAAAGATGCTGAAGTAAGTTAAATAACCTTCTGTGTTAAATTCAAGGAATGTTACCTGCAATCTGACCCAACTCATCAACACCCCCACCAGACCAAACAATCATTGTCCCGAAAAATCTTCCATTTTAGACCTCTTTTTTAACAAATGTGCTCCATAAATTCCCTGGTATGGGTGTTTTTGTTGATGGTTTGCGTGATCATTGTGTTCAAACCCAGCTCCAGAAGAATTTAGCTGGGGGGGACTGAGTAATATTTTGCGGGGGCCAGTAAATTGTCATTTTAGTTTATATAAATACATAAATAAACGTTTGCGTAACCTTGCAACTGAAATAACCATGTTGTTTATTACCTAAACTAGACTATTTAGATCTAACACAGCTGCAGTCTGCGTTTCCCAGATAACTGAAATTTTCTTAATAGTCTGTCCTTCCAGTCTGTCTTGCATTTCCTGGTTAGAGCCTTCTCACTTTAATCGCTTACAGCACCCTCTGCTGGTTGTCTTGAGTCAATACATTGCATAGGTTCAACTTATTTACACGGTGTTGTAATATGTCTTGTGGGTGTTGTGGTGTTACAAGATTGAATTAGTGGAAAAATAAGCAGACACGTGAATCAGCTTCAGTTCTCCATTTTTACTTTCACCTTCGTTTTTTCCCGTCTCCCTGCATACACTTTATTTTAACATACGTTCTCATAGCGCCCACTGGTGCCCTTTTTATGCAACAACAATTCAACAGCACAACACAAGAGTGCGGGGGTTGGATACCTGAATGGGCGGGCCCGTCCCGGCCATCCCGCCCTCTGGCGCCGGGTCCGATTGCGTTATTGCAATTCTTAGAGACACTAAACTACCTCACTCTAATTCCAGAGTAGTGCAGCTACAGCGTGCGCTCTCAGGACATTATTACCTGCAGTGTTCCCTCAGTGAAGACTGAACTAGGCAAAAGGGCCTTTTCTACTTTGCTTCTTCTTTTTTGGGTCGCAGAGGTCACAGGTGCCCATATCCAGCCATCATTGTGTGACAGACGGGGGACACCCTGGACAGGTCTCCAGTCCATCACAGGGACACATAGACGAATGAGACAAACAACCATTCACTCTCTCACCTAGGAACAATTTAGAGTTGCCAATCAGTCTTACATGCATGTTTTTTGTCTGTGGGAGGAAACCGGAGTACCCGGGGAAAACCCACGCATGCACAAAGAGAACATGCAACTCCACCCAGAAAGGCTCTGGGCTGAAATTTGAACCAGGGCGACCTGCTTCTTGAGAGGTGGCAGCTCTACCAACTGAGCCACCGTTCTGCTCCATAACGGGCTAGTCTACTGAATTTTTAGTGTCCTGACCCTTTTTGGATCTAGTTCAGTTTTAAAACTACAGTGATAGAACTGGACTGGGATGTACTAAGTCTGAATCTTGAAGACAGTTTACGATCAGTAAAACTTTTATTATTTGTGTGAAAGTTCAGACTAGTCCAGTTCAACTCGTTTAACTACACAACTGAAATTGTTAAAAACTGGAAAATTGTTTACATTTAAGCAAAAGCGTTACAACAGAGTTTAGTCAGATGCAGCAAAACAGGCCCAAACTATGATACTACCACCGCCATGTTTCACAGATGGGATCAGGTTCTTCTGCAGGAATGCAGAGTTTTCATTTCTCCAAACATTTTTTCATTTAAACCAAAAAGTTCTGTTTTGGTCTCATCCGTCCTCAAAACATTCTCCAACAGTCTTCTGGTTTGTCCACGGGATCTTTATCAAACTGCAGATGAGCAGCAATGTTCTTGTTGGAGAACAGTGGCTTCTCCTCCAAGCTGCCATGACACCATCATTGTTCAGAGTTCTCCTGATGGTGGACTCATGAACATCAACATTAATGTGAGAGAGACCTTCACTTGTTAGAAGTTACTCTGTGGGCCTTTGTGACCTCACTGACTATTACACTCCTTGGAGTGATCTTTGTTGGTCCACCACTCCTGGGGAGGAGAACAATGATCCAGAACTTCCTCCATTTGTGCACAACCTGTCTGACTGTGGATTGGTGGAGTCCAAACTCTTTACAGATGTTTTGTAACATTTTCCATTCTGATGAGCATCAACAACTCTTTTTCTGAGCTCCTCAGAAATCTCCTTTGTTCCTCCATGATCCACTTCCACAAACATGTTGTGAAGATCAGACTCTGATAGATCCTGTTCTTTAAATCAAACAGGGTGTCCACTCACACCTGATCATCATCCCCATCCATCCATTATCTTTTACCCGCTTCTTCCATTTTGGGTCAGGGGGTCACCGATGCCAATGTCCAGCAATCACTGTGCGAGGGGTGGGTACACCCTGGACAGGTCGCAAGTCCATCACAGGGACACATAGAGACAAACAACCATTCACTCTCTCACTCACACCTAGGGACAATTTAGAATCATCAGTCAGTCTAACATGCATGTTTTTGGTCTGTGGGAGGAAACTGGAGTACCTGGAGAAAACCCACGCATGCACGGAGAGAACATGCAAACTCCACCAAGAAAGGCCCCCGGACCAGGATTTGAACCAGGGACCTGCTCGCTGAGAGGCAGCAGCTCTACCAGTTGTGCCACCCACTCACAAATATGTAATATTGGATCATTTTCTTCAATAAATAAATTATCAAGTATAATATTTTGTCTAGTTTGCTTAACTGGGTTTTCTTTATCAACTTTTAGGACTTGTGTGAAAATCTGATGATTTTAGGTCAAATTTATGCAGAAATATAGTAAATTATAAACTTTCAAGCATCACTGTAATCTAATGCAGTTTTGAACAGTCTAAGTACTGCAGTACTGTATTTCAACTGAACTAGTTCTAATGTGATCCAAATCCCCAAAAGCACTACAATAGTTCCTTTCAGATTTAATTTTCACAAATCACAAATGACGTTTTAAAGATACCTTCTTTCAGTTTATGTTTTAAAATAAGTTTGAATACAGGTAGTAATATACGTTTTGAACTTTATCTGATCAAAGGTGGTCAAGACTGCTACCCCCCCCCCCATTTAAAAAAATAAATAAATCAATAAATAAAAATCAGTGGAATAGTCCTTCACTGCACTGTAAAGTCAGAAGCAAACTTCAGTACGAGGGAACCATGGGTTTAATTTCACTGTCACTTAGTCTACGTGCTGATTTTGTATTGAAAACAATAAACAAGTAACAGATGGCTTTATCGTGATTTAGAGATCTAATATAATTTTTAAATAACACATTTTTTTCCTATTATTAGCTTATTTGATTGATCTCTGATTCGACATTTGTCCAAGGCTGACTCACTCATGCCCCGTGATAACATTAAGAAAAACATTACGGCACGAGGAACGAGCCTGGGGGTGTCTCTGAGCAATATCAAACTGAGTGTAATTCACAGATTGTTTGCTTTATTTTCAGGTTTAATGAGTTTCTAGTGATGAAGCAACTTGTCACACATGTAATGGCACACTTTGTGACACTGCTGGTTTTAAAAAGGTATCAGGCTATCGCATGTTTTTATTTTTTCTAATAAAGTAATTAGGAAACTAGTTGTGCTGTTTTTTTTCTGTAAGTTTTCATTAGTTTCATGCAGAGGTGCAAGTCCAAGGTGGAGAAATAAAACCAGCTAAATTGTGTGTTTATTTTTCTCACAACAAAAATCAAACCTTTGTCATACAGTTTATTTAAAATGAAACAGGGTAAGCACCTCCCCAGGAACCGTATGACCAGTTTATTCTCTTGAAGTACATTTGCGAGGCAGAGGCAGACTGAGTTCTTGTATTCGAGGAGAGGGCCTGGCAGAGAGAGCTGCCCGGCTGACAACGTTCGGGTCATAACCCGCACACAGAGCGGTCCTCGTTTTAGGGCAGGACAGTTGAACGAGTCTCTGCGAGGCCACGCAGCTCCTGGCTGCTCTGGACACAGGCCAGCACGCCGGGCGCGCTCCTTCCCACTGGTGGTGGTTTTGCTTCGGGGCTAAAAAAGACAAAAGCAGCAGTCACACTCAATGCAAAACAATGTAAACACAAAACAAGAATGAAAAAGATGTCCTACTGGCTAGTAGCTCTATATGTGCAGATGTTTTTGTCGGCAAGCGAGTTATGGGTCGAGGTTTAGGTCTGCAGCCGGACCCCCCCTGAACATGCCGTCTCTTTGCCTGGGCGAGCTGACAGATCCACGAAGAGGCGACCACTGTCTGTGTTCCTCTGCTCAACTGCACTCACATTTCAGGGCATAGATGAGGTTTTACTCAGTAGAAAGCACAACTTAGTTACAGAAGCATGCAAAATTAGTTTTTTTTTTGATTAATTGCATGTAAAACTAAACACCCCAAACTGAGAGTTCTGCCTTTTAGCAGTCCTTCCTGCTCATTAGGGTCTTTAGTGTTGTGCAGATGCTTAGAGTGCATCAATCATATGGTTTTTACTCTTGTAAAACTTTTTTAAAATCTTAAATTCCTGCTCAGTCTGTGAAAAAAGCTTGATTTGTAATTGGTACGTTATGAAGAGAATAAAAGCAGGATTTTGTATCCACCAAAAACATGATGCTGTCATATATTTTACATTTTAAAATGATCGTTTGGTTTTTCAAGAGGGGATATCTGGAAAGGCGTTTAATAAACACCATCCTACCTGTTGTAGATAGCTTTTTGAACAACTTCAGTTTGAAAATAAATGGTTTAATTTTGATCATAGAATAAAAGTTTACGTCCCATTCAGATTAACAATGATGTTCACGAAGAACTCTGCTGGTACAATCACAAATAGCAGCAGCACCTAGCTGTAGCACTTCAAGTGCAGCATGGGACCCTTCCAGTCAACAACATATGAATGCAGACGCCTAATGGCACTCTGAAGACCCACCAGGCAGACATCCTTTGTGGTTCATGCACCAGAACTTATTTTTATTTATTTATTTATTTATTTCAGTTTGTTTGATAAAAGTGCAATTAACATTTTTTATGTATGTCAATTTGTAATGACTTTTTGAGCCTAGATATTTATTATCCACTGTAAAAATCTGAAGACTTTTCTAACATTCTCATTTGTGTATTAGAGATCAAATAAATTGCATTGGAAGGACTGGAATAATAAGGAATGGGCGTGAGCTAGCTTTCTGCACAAACCAAACTTTCCTTAATCTACATGCTTGACTTCCTAAAAAGAGCAAGAACTCTAAAACTCTGCCAGTTCTCTCAAGTCTTATGAGCATGGAAATGTGTTTTGCAAGTGGAAGTGAAGCATGTGGGCAGATATTTCAGCACATGCATCACCTGGAAGATGCTGGAGATTGGTACCTGCAGTCCCATACTTCTCCTTTTCCTTCTGTGAGGAATATTTCTGCTAAAATAACTCTGTATTGAGAAACTGATAGTAAATACTTCTAAATTAACATTTGCTATGAAAATCACAATAACATTTTTGATTTAAGACGGCAGCAAATAACAGTCTTGGCCCTGCTCAAACTAGCTGTTAGCTCATCAATAATCTATGTTCAGAACACAGAGGCTGTTCAAAGGAGTTACCGTATTTTTCGGCCTATAAGTCATAGCTTTTTGCATAATTTGCATGCCCTGCGACTTATACACTGAAGCGACTTATTTATGGATTTTTCCCCATATTTATAAACCAAATTTTGGCTGAGATATGACCGTTTTCATTCATTCTGACTGAAAATATTGAACACTACCATTTTCAGCCACTAGACGGCACTCAAATATATGTCATGCCGTTGTGTCATGTAATAGGTAAAAGTGTCTATTAATGACACAATCGGCTTGCCATAGCCTGCCACCGTCGTCTGCCGGGAGTAACGGTCAAATCAGCTTCATTTTGCTGCACCGCCCCGGCGAAATGCAGCTGATTTGACCATTAAAGTGCATTTTTTAAGTAAAAGTTCATCTGAGACACACCTTTACTATAATGTTGAGCAAACAAATAATTGTTTGTAAGTGTTTATCTTGTTAAATTTCGAAGAAATGAACAGCGAGTCGTCCTCCGCGCACTCCTACTTCTGCATATCGGCTTTTGAAATTCAGCTGATTTGACCGTCAAAGTGCATTTATTAAGGGAAAAGTAGACTGAGACACATCTTTACTATAATGTCAAGCAAACAAATAATTGTTTTTAAATGTTAATCTTGTTAAATTATTGTTACAAGTCCTCCCGTGCACGCTCCCGCGGTCGCCATTTGGCAGCCGATCAATTTTTGGCACAACACCGACCCACATTTCCAGGTTGTCAGTGGTGACGCATAATAGATGCGACGTATATGACAAAGTGACGTATTTATGTTTTTCAACTTTATTAGACATATTTGGACTGATGCGACTTATAAGGCATGCAATATATACGGCGGAAAATACAGTACATACAACAGGTAAGATAGTTATTGTTCATAATAGAACACTGAAAGACTTAAATTAGGCACAGTGATGTTATATACCGTACTTAACCAGCTTAACAACTATTGGTTGGATTTACAAGTTTTGCTCCCTTCAAGGTGGACTTTAACCTGAACTTCTTCTTAGAAATGATTTTCTATTCCGAATTGGCAAAAATAAGAACGCGCTAACGAAATCTTCTGACGTGTTTTACTCACAGGGGTCGGTAGAGGGCGCTCAGGCTGCCAGCCGGCTGCAGGGCCCCGAGGTTGAGCCAGAACACACAGCCGCTCCGACGGCTCGGCCCGGAGAGCCCATCGACTCACCTCCCATATGGGAGAAATTCTGAGGAAAGAGGCGAAGAAAGCAGGAATCATAACTGAGAATTTAAAGTATAAAAACATGAAAAATGACTCGGGATGTCTTTACAACAAGTATATTACTGTAAATAGACAGAGATTACTTGTTCTTCCTGGTAACAATCTAATTAAAACATTGCCAATGTTGGAGTTTTTTTATTTCTACTGGAAACAAAATGATAAATTCTTGATTTCCTTTTCTAAATGACAAAAAAACCCAACTTGGGACAGTAAATAAGATTTACTTGTACAGCTGATTTGTTTTCAATGCATTTATACATAAAATATGAGGGGGAGAATGGGTCACGCTAGATAACTTTATTTATTTACACGACTTGATTGTAGAACTTTTTACTTCGGGCCAAGTCTGACCAGAGAGGGGTTAACTCTGTGGGAAGCAGGAAAACAAAACAAGATTTTTCTTTTAATTTGCACCTAAAAGAAAATAATAAAATAAAATTGTGAAAAATTTACCAATTTTTGTAGCAGATTCAGTCCTTTGTTGTGGCAATTTGTCCAGCCAGTAAACAGATCGGCTGAAACATAAAAGACAGTCATGAGTAAGAAAATTAAAAAATAATGAAATAAAAACTACAACTTGAGTATCAACACTTTAGTGATGTGGGTCAGGCCTTCCAGTTTGCTTCAGCCTTTCTTCCGGTTATGTCAGGTGTACCCCAAGGCTCCATTCTTGGTCCAACTCTTTTCTCCATATTTATAAATGATATTTCGCATTTTGTTAGTGAGGCCTCCATGTATTTATATGCCGATTACACTATTTTATATTCATTTGGTTCTACTCAGGATGAGGTTGTGAAGTCTCTTGCATGTGGTACTCTTGAAATCCAGCAGGCCTTGTCTGACTTAAAATTTGTCCTTAAATGCCAAGAAAACAAAAATTATGTGGTTCGGTCATAGAGGAGGGACCATACCCACCTCGGTGGACTTCACAACTGCAAATGGTGATATTATAGAAGAGGCAACAGTTTATAATTATTAGTGAATTTGGATTGATGGTGCTCTGTCCTTTTCACATCATGTTAATGTTTTGTAATCTAAGGATAAAGTGAGACTTGGTTATCTAGATAGAAATCGATTTTTGTTTACATTGGCTGCAAAACACACCATTGTTGAAAAATCCATTCTACCTCTGTTGGATTATGGAGACATAATTTACAGACATGCTTGTAAGGGTGTCCTTCGTAAGCTGGACACAATTTATCACTCTGCTATTGGCTTTGTTACAAATGCTCCTTATATAACACATCATCATCACCTTTACTCTCTTGTTAAATGGCTTCTCTACAAACTCATCATGAATTTCATTAGTTTACCCTCATTTATAAAACATTGCTGAGTTTGTCACCTCCATATTTAACTAATCTACTGTTTCAAAGTACAACAGCCGATCCTCTCAATATTTGTGGTCAACAACTCTAAAGACCAAGTCTGACTTTGGCTCTACTGCTCCATCTGACTGGAAAGTGCTTCAAAAAACTTTTGAGTCTGACCTCACTCGTCTCAGTTTCTAAGTTTGTAATGTTGTTGTTTTGTAATGTTGTAATGTTGTTGTTCAACTTTGACAATGAACTGTTGTCAATATAATTTGTGTTTCCTTGTTAATGACTTCTGTATTTCATCATTTTGCCTTACTTCCCTTGACCCCACAAGTACCCGTTGGTGCTTCTTAGTGTTTATGCCTGGTTAAATAAAGGTGAAAAAATTAAATTAAATTAAAAAATTAAAAGGCCTACCGATCTGGAGATCTGAGATGGTTGTGTTTGGGCTGAGCGAGCCGCTGCGTTCGTGTTGCCATGGAAACACCCCGGGCTGCTGGTCCAACACACTGATGAGAAAAGGACCTGTGGGATTCAGATGTTTATTTCTATACACACAGAGCTTCACAAACACAAGACACTTTTAAATTTGAAATATTATATTTGTAAATAAAATCCTGTAAGCTAAAGCTGAAAATATTGACAGAATATTTATGATACATTTCACAAAAGTGCAGATTAATAACCAAAAACTGAATTTATCGCACACCAACTGGCAGATCAGTGATCCTGTTAATGTGCAAAGTTGGGAGTGTCGTGCAAAATAAATAATTTTTGACATCACTAGTCAGATGTATTTGGTAATTCGTCTTCATGTAGGATTAAATGATTAATTTCTCAGAACCAATTCAGTATTTTTGCATCAAGAAAATTAGAAAAAAATAAATTAAGCTAAAATTTACATTTCTATGGCCCACCATGAACTTTTTGCTACAAATACATGAAAGCTGAACAGCAGGACAAATCAAAACAAGATTTACTTTAACACTACATTTACAGATGCATTAAAAAGCCTAAACAAAACTGACTACATACTCCCATAAAAAGCAGAAAACCTAATCATGCATTTTTTTTTTACCTGCTCTGTCCCTGCAGTCGTCCTTTGTGGCGACATCGACACCAGCTGGTTGCTATGGTATCGGGTGACGGTACACCTGAGGTTGTTTATAACGAGGAGCGCTACGATCCACTCTCGTCAGGTTGTTTTGAAACACATTTCTCGTCAAACAAAACCCTTTCCATCTGCGCTTTATTCAACATTAATAAACTGTAAACCCCAACGACCAAATTCACGAGTGGCTTCTTTATATCCCTTTCAGCTTTATTCCAGGTTTATTATAATGCTACAAGTCTAAACGAGCATAATTAACGAGCACAAGGTGGAGCAACACACACCTGGAGGGGTAAAACATGTTTGCCTTAAACCTAATTACATTTAAGAAATAGTTTATTGAGGTTTTCGCCATGTAATTAAATCACCAGATGTTTGTGTTGTAGCACAAAATGTTAACGTGCACAGCTTCTCAGCATAATGATAATTACGTTCAACTCCCATTATGGGTGTTTGATGAGTTCAGCTGACAAGAACTCATCTATTTATGAAAATAACACAAAGTGTCATAACGCCAATAAGAACGGGTGCAGCACAGAATGCAGACAATATGCCCCGTCTCAAATCATGACAATACTTTCCATCAAGTTGGTTCAGATGAGCCGACAAGAGAACTATTTATGAACGAACAGACTCCTACCATAAGATGATACGACCCATCAGGCGTCTAAAAACACCTAAATATAAAATAAGAGGCACACAGACAGTTTGAAAACAGACACCTTTATTTTGAGCTGATATTTTCAATTTGTATAAAATAGCACAGTGAACAAGCTATCAAAGCTTCTTTAATACCCATAATCACAAAAGCCACAAGCTCTCTGTATAATACTGTAATTATTCTCCAAACTTCCTACAGGAGTCAGTTCACTTTAACCAGCCATGTTTCTTTGACACATTTGTGTAATTAACACCTGGAGGTGATAAACTGAAAACACTACATGGCTATACATCATAAGACATTCACAGAAGTCTGAAACACAGAGAGAATACCTGGATTATGTAGTGTTTGGTTCATATTGTCACTAATATTTAAAGGGCAATAACAGTGCTAGAACTGCTTTTAAACTCTGCTACATCTACTGCTAATAATCACAAAATTATAAGGGAATAAAAAGATATATTGGCACAAGCGATTAAAAAAAATCATTTGAATTTCTTGGTTGTTCATGTCACGTTTGGCTACGACAGAAACGCACAGCATGCAACAAACTAGAAATTCTGCTGTTTGTTCAGAACTGGAGTCCGTTTTTCATTTGACCTAAACGTGCTGAGCTAACAACCTCAACAGTTACTGATTATTAGAAGTATATGGCATCAAGATACTGGGATTTCAGTGGCATTAGATCACGTGTTGAGACGCTGAGCTCCCGTTCGGTTGCAACAGAACGTACTGGGATGTGGCAAAAACAAAAGATGGCGCCCGCGGTTTAAAAGCAGCGCAGGAAGGAAAAACAACATAAAAGTGGGGAGACGTGAGTAAATGATGTTTTCAGTAGCACCAGGAGAAATGGCATGAGTGCGCGTCTGCGTCAGAGGGTCTGCACTATGACGGGATACAGCAGGGACATGTGCTCGGCACCTCTTATTGGCAGCTTGTGTGTAGTGTAGTAGTGGATGACCTCGGGGATGGTGAGGAACGGAGGACTGTTCTCCCCAAGAACGTAACGCCCGTCTGCAGACTGGCTGAACTTCATGTGCATGAAGCCTTTACAGCTCCTAACAATAACAAAAGACAACTTATTGTTAAAAACTTACAGAACCGTATTAAAAAATATTGCAGATACGCGAGTTGCAAAACAAACTCAGTACTTCAGCATGTCCACGACAAATGATTTGTGTTTTTCTTTGAATAACAATAAGTCTAATGATTGATTACCGGTAATCAAAAAAAAATACATAAATAGTACATTTAAATACATAAACTTTTTATAATGTGGTGATTTATTTACAAAGTGCACAGTTTTTCTCACTGCAGAGTATTCCTCAGGGCTTCAACAAGAACCTCTTGGTATAAAAAAGAACATTGTGTTGGTTTTTTTTAGTGTCCATCAATAAAACTATATTAATATTTTTCAAAAAAATGTCAAAAACCGTTCCAAAAAACAACAACAAGCCAACAGGATGTATCTGCTGCACTTTGTTCAAGCTTTAGTTTTCATCTCAGTTCTTCAGTTTGCACAGGATGATTGATTCAGAAGCTTGATTTTTTTATTTGTTTTTTGGTAGCGTAAATGTCAAAGTTTGATGATTAAATCAACAACATATACGTCTGATTTTATAAAGTAATCAATGCGCTTTTTATTTTTTACTTCCCACAAAACACACAGTCACTTTAAAAATCACATTTGCATGAAAAGCAGCATTTAAAGTGCTCCATCTTACATCCAAAAACCACTTCTGACAACTTCTGTGCATTTAATACTTTGCACGTCTTCGGTCAAGTTACATGTTGAGATGTAAAGTTAAAAGAAAAAGTGACTGTCACTGAATTCGCATATGTTGTGAATCATTTTTAGAGAGAGTTCATGAAATGAGGCGACTACCTGAGGGAGAGCGAGTAGTCGTTGCGGCAGGTCTGACTGTTCCTCACCAGGTAGGAATTCTCCTTACACAGAGTCAGAAGTGACTCTGCCTCCGAGCGGCTCAGGGCTCCATGGTACCATCTGCAGGCACCCGTTAGAAAACAGAAGAAAACACACATTTAGCTGTTTGTACCTAGAGAGAAAAGTTCATCTTTTGTATGTGAAAGTGGCAGAAACACATTACAGCTTGCAAGTCCCAGTGGACGATAAGATACAGAACACGAGACCATAGCTTAGTATTAAGTGTTTGTGATACTGAGCAAGTGAAAACTGGGGAAAATCAAACATGAGATAAATTCAGGAAATACCCAGCACACTATCCTCTTGAATACTACAGTACAACAAAACTAATGTTATTAAAAGTACATTTAAAACAATGAACTTAAAACTCTACAATAAACTGCATAAAGACCTAAATAGTCCAAAGCAACAAAACCAGTTAAACAAAAAATAAACGTAAAACATGAAATTTAAAAGGTAAATTAAAATAAAATAATCAAAAAGTGACAAATATGCCTAAAATACCAGAACCATTAGTTGCAATTAAAAACCCCAAGGAGAAAAAACAAAAAACACTTGTCTTAAGTCACGTTGTAAAAACTTCCAACAAGGGAACAGGTTTTATTAAGAATTAAGTTGTTCCTCAAACATTTCAACTTCTAGATGTAAGTGCAATTAATTAAATTACAGTAATAGCTTCAATGTTGGCTTCAAATGATCTAAAAAAAAGTGTAATCAATAAAATCAATATAGGTAATCAAAATTATTCTGCCTCATTACAACTTGCAAGTTCTTTGGGTTTTTTTTGCAACGTTTCCAAACTGTTCCAAAATAAGTCTTCAAGCAAACAAAGCCCGACTTCCCCCCAACCCTGAACTGGGTCTGCTTTTGAAAAGACACTGACCCTCTTACAACACATACATTATATTATATTATATTATATTATACAGTTGCTGGATGTATAAAAAATATATATATATTCTTTTCATTTTGCCTACTCAACAGATTTCTGTTCAAATTCTTGGTTTAATACACAAGTTTCTAACAAACACTGTTTGAACAGTGATATAACTTCAGCAGCAATGGGCAACAGGTAAATAAAATGCTCTTGTTAAAAAGCTAAAGTGCAGCAGAAGTAATAAGAATGAGCTTGATTGAAATGTTAATTATTTTTGTTGGATAAAAATATCCTCATATCTTACTTGAAAGGAGCCACACGCAACGACAAGAGATTTTTATACTTGCAAGGACAGATAGTCAGCACAGGCTTACGCAGATGTTTCATTGAAGCCCCGTCGCGAGGATCTGCACCGGACAGTGTGCACGAAGTGCTTTTTATACACGCTTATCAGCTACTACAGGTCACGGCGACCTCGGCTCCCCAGCTCACAGACTCCGAGGCGTCCTTGGAGTAATCAGGTGCACATGCGGTATCAAATGAGCTCCCCGTTCAGCTCTCTCTGCTAACTCTAACGCACGGTTCGCGGGCCGTTAACATTCTCAGCCATAGTAGTTTAAAAACTTCCAAACACATTGATCAAAATTGCCCTGACAATTTTATACATGAAAACCTGTTTGAAGCCAAACTATAGAGACTCCTGGGACATAGCTGAAGAAAATAGGTTTTCAGGGTAGGTGTGACAACAAGATTCAAGTTGAATTATTAAAACTAATTAACTTCAGCTATTTTCCTCACGAATAAGGAACAAAACACATGGCTCTTTCATAGAACACAGTTCCAGCAAATACCAGTCTGTCTTCATGCTGCCTCTGGCTGTTTACAAATCACCGCTGAAGCCGACCACGTCCCGAGCGGACGTGAGCTTCCAGAAATAAAGCGAGCATTGCAGAACAGAAAGAGGCATGGAGCAGAACTCAGCTGGGCTGAAATGGAGCGCAACACGTTGAAAGTGTCACGGACATTTCCTATAATTTTCAAAATGTACAAATTAACTCACTTAAACAATTTGCTCTGTGGGAAACTAATTGTGAAGAACTCAAATATGAAGTTACTGTGCATCGTCACTGATCTTCCCTCAGTAATGAACCTGTCTGTTTAATCCTGCAGCTGGGTGACTGTACAGACCATTTGGCATCTCTTCATCACACTAATGAGCAGCAGAGATGGCTGCTTTGTTGCTTCACGGCTCAAAAGTGCATCAGGGGTGCGTGGCATCTGTAGTGAACTTAACCTGATGTCAAAACTAAGCCTAAGGTCAAAACCCTTGACCTTAAGAACCTTGTGGGACAGAAACTGTCATTTCATTGATTTGAATCCAGAAATACAGGTTCACCCATCCTGAGACTTTCTTTCTTGAAAATTCAAGTGAAAGAACACTCTCTTTTCTATTATCATTACTATTTTACAAATGTTGATAATCAAAGTGTCTTAGTTCAAACCATTTTAGATGTTGCAGTGAACTAATCAATTTTATTAACTGTGAAACAGTGTAATGATTTTTTAATCCTCATGCAAAGTTAGAATTCATGTTAAGGCCTGTTACAGAGTAATCATGCATTTTATGATTTGCTGTCTTTGAATGAGCAAGTGTAAGTTTTGTCCAAGGTCGGAGTCGAAGCAGACATGTGTTGGAACAACTGTCTTGTTTTAAAATCCTCTCAGACGTAAACAGAGGAGTTGGCACCTGTTTCTCCAAACTCGCCAAAATATTTCTCTCGCCTGTCTGGGAACATTTTCAATCTGTTCCAATAACATTCTTGCTGTTTTCTGACTTCTAGTAACCTCTTACGTCACAAACCACACCCCTGTCTGGTTGATATTGACCAATCAGGGACTCCCAAATGGACCGGGAATAGAGCTCTTTAAAATGCCGGTACTTCCTGGTTCTCCAGTCTGAGAGGGCGGAGAAGTTCTGAGATGTTCGCAGTTCTGTGAAGTCGTTTGGGAGAACAGAAGTCCAGCCATGATAAGGCTCTTCCGAGTTTGGATTATAACATCTTCCACCTCTGAGTGGAACTTCTGAAGGACTCCACTCATGTGAAGTCCACTTGCTGAGGTGAGCTTGTGTCGGACGGAATCTCGTCACTACTTCGGACGAGTCACAGCCATCCTATGGAGACGCTGGACAGGTAGCGTTAACTGGAACTCCGTAACCGCTGATTCATCTTCAGAGAGGTAATGAGTCAAGTTTGCTACCAAGCGTACCAAGGAAAAGCTGGGTTCGAATGGAGAGTGTCGGTTCTGGTCAACACTCCCCCTCACACACCATCTTTTACTCCCTTTAAACTTCATTTCCATCTTTAAATTCTTCTCTCAAGTAGAAATCCTTCCAGATAATTTAGAAATGTCTGTGTAAAGTGCTCATCCACCGCCGTGCGGATAATTGATCATAATTGTACAGTTTTCATTAATGTCTGTGGTGAAGCAACGGAAAATCATGGCCGTATGGTTTTCCTGGTTGTAAAGCTGATTGATTATGTTGTTATTCTCATATTCTGCCAAATTAATGTAAATGTTGATGTTAAACTTTGATTTTGTAAAATAAATGACCACATTCATTTTGATGGGTCAAAGATAAATGACGTCTCACGTTACATTTCATTAAATTCAATGCACGTTTTATTCAGTCCAGAAAAATGAAGAATCCGTTTTAATTGATGAATATATCGCAGCATCTGTTCATCTACACATCAATGGAAATCACACCGAGGCGGCCAGAAGGCATCTATCATACCTGCCGCCGTAAACATCACACTGCCGTATAAGTCGCATCAGTCCAAATATGTCTGATAAATTGGAAAAATCCATAAATACGTCGACTTTATTATGTGTCACCACTGACAACCTGGAAATGTGGGCCGGTGTTGTGCCAAAAAACGATTGGCTGCCAAATGGCGACCGCGGGAGCGTGCACTGGAGGATTCAAACTAAAATTTAACAAGATTAACACTTAAAAACAATTATTTGTTTGCTTGAAATTATAGTGAAGGTGTGTCTCAGTCTAACTTTTCCTTAATAAAAAGGACTTTAATGGTCAAATCAGCTGCGTTTCAAAAGCCGATTCGCAGAAGTGGGAGCGCGCAGAGGGACGACTCGCTGTGCATTTCTTCAAAATTTAACAAGATAACCACCTAAAAACAATTATTTGTTTGCTCGACTTTACAGCAAAGTTGTGTCTCAGTTGAACTTTTCCTTGATAAATGCACTTTAATGGTCAAATCAGCTGCATTTCTCCTGGGCGGCGAAATGAAGCTGATTTGACGTTTGCTCCAGGAGTTCCAGAGCGAGACGAAGGTGACTTATGATATGGCAAGCCAAGTGTCTCATTAATAGCCACTTTTACCTATTAATGAGACACTTGGCTTGCCATATTTGTCGAGGGCCCTCTAGTGGCTGAAAATGGTAGTGCTCAATATTTTCCATGTCAGAATGAATGAAATCGTCAGATCTCAGACAAAAGTTGTGTTATAAATAAGGGGAAAAACATAAATATGTCGTTTCGCTGTATAAGTCGCAGACATGCTAATTTATGCAAAAAAACTGTGACTTACACATCAAAAATTATGGTAAGTCCAGCTAAAGGTGCTTAACGAGAGTCTAAAGCTGCGCTTTTACTTACACTTGCTTCTCCAGAGGCAGGAATGGATCCACTCTCTCCCCCAGGAGAGGAGGCGTGTCACCAACGAGACGAAGCGTAGTAGAATCAGAAGCTATGGATGACGAGCTCGTCTTGGTAAACCTGGTCTGTTCCGTCTGAGCTCGCGAGCGCTCCCTTTCTGCACCTTCAAACTGAACTATAGGCAGAGGAAATAGTTAAAAAAACAAATGTTCAGAAGGCGAATTCATACAGAATTAGAATAATAAAAAGAACAGTTTACCTGCGAGAGCTTTGGAAATGTTGTCTTTCTTCCACTCCCACGGCTGGTCGTATTCGTCGGCCGGCCTCTCGTCATCTTGAGGAAGCCTGCTCTCTTTGCCGTCCGTCACGCCGAGTCCATCAACTTTCTGCGCTTGCTGTGATGGAGGAGCAGATTGATGGCGGTGACGGTTCTTCTCCTCGTACGGGTTATCGTACAACTGGCTGCCGTCTCCACTTGCAGACATGCTGGTCATCCCGTTGTGTTGCAGTTCTGCAGAATTTAAATCAACACGTTTCTGAAACCGTAATGACGGCAGTTCAGGATACAACGTGCCACTAGTCGTCCTTTCGCAGCAAGCGGTACTTTTACAACTGAACCTAGAAAAATCTGTATCAAACCTGAAATAATCCGCTGGGCTTCAAATGGCTCCATGTAGCTGCAGCAGTCTGTTGGTGGCGATTTCTGCTCCCAGTTTCTTCCAGCTCCAGGGTCTGGACGTGCATCAAAAGGATCAGAATAGTCCGTTTCAGCATCTGATGCTGCTGGGGCAGAGGGAACCACCTTGAGAGAGAGACAAACAAAAGACACCACACAAAATAAATATTTTATAAATCATTCGAGCTCGGAAGAACTTACTGCTTAGTGGATATGAAGATGAGCGGACAAATAAAAGTGAAGAGAAATACAACAAAAAACAATTAGGTTGAAAATAAAAGACAAAGCAAAAAGAGTGCTTACAGGTTCTTCTTGAACAGTGACCGGACTGAGAGGAATTTGACAGCGCCCAAACTCCTGAGAGTCCACTTTAATGAGTCTGTGTTTGGGAGACACGACTTTCACCTGAACATAACACACGCAAATAAAATAAATTCAAACCAAAATAATTGCGTTTAACCCTCCTGTTGCCTTTAGGTCATAAAAATGGGTCGTTTAGAGCCAAGGACAATGGGAGGATTATACGGAGAAATAACCATTCAAACTAAAAGATCAAAAAGTACTTTATGTGGCGACACACGACGCTTGGAACAAAACAAACTGAGCGCATGCAACATGCAAGTATTCGTGTCATACCTCCACACCGCTGGGCAGCACAGAACCAAATGCAGGGAAAGAGGGAAGGCTCACGGTTGTAGTACAAGAGCTGAAACCACCATTCTGGTGCTCTTTATCAGAGTGTTGGTATGGATCCTCAAAGTCCAGCTCCTTCTGAGCTCTGTAGGCCCTTAAAATCTCACTTTCTGTGTAATCTGGCCTTGGGGGTTGGGGAGGATCACGCCTGCTGCCAATGTTTAGATAGTCCTTTAGCCACTTTGCCATGGGTCTGTGGATGAAGGACAGTGGAATAACTTAGGAGGGCACAAGTCTGTTTTTACCTTTATACATAGTTATCTGTATTTTAAAGCTGGTTTTGATAACCGAGGACTGAACCCCAAACGTTTAAGCTACGAACAACCTTCAGTGGCTGATTGGCCAGATGATTCTAGCTGGTTTAGTCTGTTTGAGCCTCATGGACAATGACCCAACCCCCATGAAAGTGAGAGCAGATTAGTAGATTCTGGAGCCACATAAGCACTCGAACCCCTCCGCCATGTGAAGAAGACATTTAAAGAAAGTGTCCTACAAAGATAGAATATAAATGTTTCATCGTTGACACTTGGACATAAATGAGGGAGATAATCATTTGGCTTCATATTAGTATCGGTAGGTGTTAAACTTTAAGGGGAAAAACCCAGAAAGAACCAATCTTGCATATTTTTCTTCATATTGATGGTATTGTGTTCTTAAATTAAAAAAAATAAACAAAACTTGTGAATGGATGCGAACTACCACATAGCATTTGTTTACATACTGTAACCCCCAAAGTGAAAGCAAAAGCAATGTCAATGGAAGAGCTGTTTTGGATTAGAAGTAAACAGTTTGATGTTTTGTATTTACACCCGCATTTGTTGAGAAGCAGATTAAAGAGCTTTGTTTACATTCAGTGCGTACCCGCATTTCAGAACTGGTATCAATATATCTGGAAAAAAAACGACTAAAACTGTGTTTTGAGGGAGAACTGGCACATGTGCCACACTTCATAGAGACTTTGCTTTTCAGACATTAATGGATCAAAATAGTTTTAATTGCGTTTTATCACCATGGCGAATTTCATGATCTGCTGCAGACAAATCAATCAAACCACTCGGGGTTTCCCAAAAAATTTACGAACCCCTTGAAGAAAATAAAAAATAAATTAGGCTACGTTAATCCAGTACTTTGAACAAACCGCTAACATCACGAGCTTTTCCTCAAAATGAATGAGAAAGTTGCAAAAACTTCACGTTAGCTAGCTACTGCTCAAACATCTAGTAAACAAAAGGAGCCGATTAAAGTGTTTAAACAAGCTACCAGCTCTCCCTAAGCATTAGTGCCAAGCTAAACATCTGACAAAGCTGGTTTTAATTCAAATCTTTATTAAATCAGAGAATGGCTCGTGTGTGAAACTGACGAGCAGTCACGTTAGCTTAGCTCTTTAAACTCACCCTCCTGCTTTGCACTGACGGGTCCCTGTTTCCAGTTATTTACTTGTGGTTATCATCCGGTAATTTTCACCTTTCGTGTCCGTCCTATAAAATAAACATTTTCCAGACAAAGAGTCAGGCAGGCCACTCGGATAAAGCTAGCTGCACCATCGTAGACACAGCGCTGCAGCGACACACCGACATAACACTGTCGTCTTAAAGGGGAGGGGACAAATATGTGCAGTGTCTTAAAGGGGAGGGCACAAATTAATACTGTGCCGTCTTAAAAAGGAGAGGACGTATTCATATCATACTTCTTCTTTTGGCTTTTCCCTCTTCAAGAGTCACAACAGTAAGTCAGCCTCCTTCATCTCACTCTGTCCTCTGCATCCCCTGTCCTCACGCCAACTACCTCCATGGATGCTAAGGGTTATTGTGCTGCACTTTACTTAGACCTGTCTAAAGCTTCTGACGCTGATCATGACTTTTATGTCATTCGCTCTCAGAAACTGGTTTCTCAGTTCACACCATTGCTTGGTTCACTGACTATCTCTCAAATCTGAGGCGATGTGTTCAACATAATGGTACTTCTTTCAGTTATTTATCGGTCAACATTGGTGTACCACAAGGCTCAGTCTTGGGACACACCCTCATCTATAGGTAATGTATGTCAGAGCATCCCTGATGCATCATTTCTATACTGATGACACAGTTGTTTATTGTCGAGCTAAAACAGTTGCTAAGAGTTTCCAGCTTTTGCAATCTGATTTTGACATCATCCAGTCAGATTTGTTCCAACTCAAACTTGTCCTAAATGCCAATAAAACCTAAAGGATGCTGTTTTCAAACAGGAAGTTGGTCCCAGCAGTTCTTCCTTCGATTTTATCCTAGAATGGCGTCCTATTGAGTTTATCGATTTCTACAAATATTTGGGTATCTTGGGCGATTCTCATCTCTCCTTTAAGCTCCACATGGAAAACCTAGTAAGGAAATTGAAAGTTAAACTGGGTTTCTTTTTCAGAAACAGATCCTGTACTCTGAACGCTAAACACCTTGTAACTGTGACTTTCCTTCCCTCCGTTGATTACAGTGACATTATTTACATGAGTGCTCCTACAAACACCCTGCAGATGTTGGACACTGTCTATCAAGGTGCGCTAAGATTCAGAACTGCTGTAACTATCGTACCCATCACTGCACCCAGTATTCACTGGACATCATTAACTTCATGCAGACTCTCTCACTGGTACATTTTCATCTTTAAATCACTTCTTGGTCTGCTGCCTTCATACATCTCCTCCTACATGCCTCTGTGTGAGTGCAGCTACAGCGTGCGCTCTCAGGACATTATTACCTGCAGTGTTCCCTCAATGAGGACTGAACTTGGCAAAAGGTCCTTCTCCTACTCCGTTCCTGTTTCCTGGAATATCTTACAAAAAGATATGACGCTGTCGACCTTGACCTCTCTAAGTGGCTTCAAGTTCCTGGCAAAAACCAATGCAGACGTTCCTGTTTTTAGTTTTGTACATCACTTTACAATCTAGCTGTTTTTGTTTCATTTTTTAATACAATTTTCTTTTATTTGTTCTTCTCAATTTGTACGCATCCTTTATGATTGTCTACTGTTGTCATCACTCTTTGTTAAAATCAGGTCTCTCTTGTAAATGAGTCCCCGAGGCTCAATGGGATTAATCTGTTTAAATAAAGGATGAATGAATGTCCTCTCTAACTGCGTCCATATAGCTCCTTTGTCTTTTTCCTGCCAGCTGCATTTCTAACATCCTTCTACCAATATATCCACTGCCCCTTCTCTGGACATGTCCAAACCACTGTCTCTCCTCTGGACATGTCCAAACCACTTTCTCTCCTCTGGACATGTCCAAACCACTGTCTCTCCTCTGGACATGT